ATGTATATTTACCCTAATAATATCTATCTATCTATCTATCTATCTATCTATCTATCTATCTATCTATCTATCTATCTATCTCTCTCTCTCTCTATATATATATATATATATATATATATATATATATATGTGTGTGTGTGTGTGTGTGTATATGTGTGTGTGTGTGTGTGTGTATATGTGTGTGTGTGCGTGTGCGTGTCCGTGGATCGACGCGTGCTGTTGACCCGCGGCTACCGGGGAACTTTTTACGTTGTCTGATGTTCAGTCAACACAGTTCCCTGACAACCAGACAATCTGCACATATGTTTTGATTATAGTGGTGAAGGTTTTGTGTAGAACCAATCAGACTTTTATGAAAAGCCGAATAGACATACCTAATGCCCCAAACGATTCTCCTCATGTTTTGAATTCAGAGTTTTCTTTTTCCTACACCAGTTGACATCCATAGCTATAGAACCCAGTCTGTTTATCCATAGCTGGTGGAGAGAGAAGCTAAGGATTCATATCTTGCGCAAGGCTATTAGCAATATCTATCTATCTATCTATCTATCTATCTATCTATCTATCTATCTATCTATCTATCTATCTGTCTGTCTGTCTGTCTGTCTGTCTGTCTCTCTCTCTCTCTCTCTCTCTCTCTCTCTCTCTCTATATATATATATATATATATATATATATATATATATATATATATATATATGGATGATATATATGGATGGTAACTGGTCTAGGAGAAAAAAAACTACATTTTTAATGCAATATTTACGTGAAAAATTTCTTACAATCAAAAATATAATAAATAATCCAAGTGTAAATAAACTATGAATTAAATCAAATCAATGGCTCAATCTTTTTTCTATTCTCCAAAACATTACTGTTTACATAACCAATTTAGAGGAAAAGTAACTGACGTATAGATAGCCACTTAAAACTCGGTATGAACGAAATAGTCTTCCCTTAAAAATCTTATTAGATCTCATATGCTTAAATAGTTAATAACGGTCCATTCCAGAAGCATTTCCAGTACTGCCACTTGCCCTTACATGGTAATATACTTAACATCCAAAAATGCATTTACAAGTAACTTGAAATCTGGAGAACTATTTCTAGGTAGATAACGAGATGCATTCTAGAATTTTGAGGACGATTTTAGTAGAGCTATTAATAAATGTCCTAGATTACTGTTATTTTAGTATACTCTTACTACATATCTAATACGTTGGACTGCCAAGTTCTGTTATTCCAGATTGAAGGAGAAGGCTGTAGCATCTCTTTGAACACACACTTCTTGTCACAATTGATTAGTTGCAGAATACATTTAGGACGTGGAGACAATTTGGAAGCTCTCTATCCAAGAAAGTTTTGTGGTGACACTGATGTACATCGAAACTGTACCTTGACCTCTCTACAGTTCGTAATTTTGGGTTGTTTTTCAAGGTGAGAGGTAACCTCAGGGCCAGTCGTTTTGAATAGCATGTGGGTATGAAAATAAACTACACCCGACAGCAATACTTCTGATCAGGAAGTTTTGAGGAGTGTGGAACCACCTCTTAATTGCTGGTGTTCCCAGATCCACACTGACCCGGGGTGGTAGCACCTGTGAGGATTCCAGCTATGTGCAAAGAGTTATATTATTATCAGCAAAACATTTTTGATAAAAATATTACCAGCAATACATTTTTGAAAATAAAATATTTTCAGCAATACGTTTTTGGGAAAAATATTACCAGCGATACTTTTTTGAAAAAAAAAACTATTATCAGCAATATATATTTTTAGAAAAAATATTACCTGCAATATATTTTTACAAAACAAATATTATCAATAATACATTTTTGAAAAAATATTACCAGCAATATTTTTTGGGACAAAATATTATCAATAATACGTTTTTAGAAAAAAATGTTACCTGTAATATTTTTTGTAAAAATATTAGCAATATATATTTTTGAAAAAATATTACCGGCAATACAATTTTGGAAAAAATATTATCAGTATTAGATTTTTGGAAAAAATTTAACCAGCAATACTTTTTTTAAAAAAAAAATATCATCAGTAATACATTTTTGAAAAAATATTACCAGCAATACATTTTTGGAAAAAATTAATGCCAGCAATACATTTTTTGAAAAAAAATATTATTAGTAATACATTTTTTAAAAAAGAATATGAATAATATATTTTTGAAAAAAATATTACCAGCAATACATTTTTGGGAAAAAAAGTATTGCCAGCAATATATGTTTTGAAAAAACATATTTCCAGCATTAAATATTTGAAAAAATAATATTACTAGCAATACATTTTTGGAAAAAAAAAATTCCCAACAACACATCTTTGAAAGAAAATATTTTACCTGCAATAAAAATCTTGTCGACCTTCAAGAACACATTGAGGTTGATATGCTGTAAAACAAATCAAACAAACCAATCTCATTTTGAATATATTCAGAAGATGAAGGAGACTGTAACAAAGGTCCTAGATACATTCATTTTGAATGATATCCATGGAGCCGTCGCGAAATGGCAAGAGTGCTACAATATATGCAAGATTTGAACAAGATTTTTTGTACTTCTTTGAAATTTAAAAAAAATATTTCTGTTAATTCACCCCAAATGATGTGAGGTTACTGATCGCTAATATTAATTCCCCCAAGGAAATTACAAATTTTAAATCAATGTTTGTTTTTTCAGTAATATGTTTGACATTCTTTTGAAATTATAAATCAAAATATGTTTACCTTGTCTCGTAACAACCCAAGGATCAAAATGAAAAATTACCAAAAATCAAGCAGATATGCCGTAAGTGCGGATGGTATCCCAGTTATTTACAAGGAAGTTTTTGCAATTTACAAAAAAAAAGGAAAATTTTTGGCTTGTTTATCGGTGTGAGCACGAATGTAATCTGCACACCTGAGTCGCCAAAATTTGTAGCGATCGCAATGGTCACACAGCAGTGCACTGGAAGGACATTTCTCTCGATGTATTTGGTGTCAATTTTAGTAAATATAAATTCTTTTTATTTTGCGGGGAATTATTTTTTCGGGGGTGGATTAACAGTAAAGATCAAAAAATGTAATTCCTGATAAAATGATTTTAAAACTTCTGTGACCAAACACATATGATGTCAAAAACTGGAAATAATGTTTAAAGATATCTATGGACTTTTTCTAAACAAAATAAGTAAAAACGTCACCAACTCCTCTACTGAATCAACAGTCTAGATGTATCGTTACAACGTTACACACGGTCTTAATGGTATTAAACTTTATCATCGGCAGGGCGATTTTCATCAGTTCTGCCTTACCTTTCTAATTACGCTCTGATATCTGACAATATAAATTCTACACAAACTTCTATTATATCAACTACTATAATAACCAGATTAATCTTCCAAACTGCTGTGAGAATCTCACAGTTAGAGCAAACAAAACCTAATTCAATTAACTGCAATACATTACATGTTTTTCTTACGTCTTTTTTCTCTTGACTTTTTAAATGTTCTAACAGATAGGATTGCAATCAACCGCATTTACCTAATTGCAAGATCAATATATAATTACATAATTCCATCCATAATTTATAGCTCTGGAATTAATGGAATTTCATTACCAGAACGAAGCATGGGTACTGTTTGAAAATTATTAATAAATGAATGTATCAGATACACATTGGCTAATCGGTTTGTGACATAAATTATTAATTATTCAATCTATTTTCGTTATAATAGAATTTTATTTCTATTATTATTAATATTTTTTATTATTTCCTTGGATATCTGTTGTATACACATTTCCTTCTGTGTGCAAACCCTAGAACTACTGGAATAATACCATTCTTGTAGAAAAGTAAAAATAACAACAAACCAACCCTAAAATCACACACATTTACACAAATGAAACCCCTTTTGTATGGTGACAGCTGTGCTTTTAAGAAAAATTCTTTATTTCTGTAATGCATGAGCTTCCAGAGAGGCCTTCAATAAGTCTATCAGAACTTTTTCTAATCCAACTCAGGGCTCCATTATCGATGTCTTCATATGCTACCATTCTAAGATGTCCACTTCATGATCCTTTTATTTTGATTCTTGTTTTGAAGAGCTTGAAAGATACATTTTGGTCTGCAGGAATTACTATGTCGATACGAAAGCAAATTAATTTTTTGGCTTCTTTTAGTTCTTTGTCTGTTGATTCTTATTTTTCTAGTCCTTCTCCTTATTATTATTATTAGTAGTAGAAGTAGTAATATTGGCATTATTATTATTTTTATTTCCTTTAATTTCTGGCGTGTACACATTTCTTTCATTGTCCCGCCCAGAGACCTAAGTTTAGAAATAACATCACATTTTCCCGCTGAAAAAATAAAAATAAATAAATAAAATAAAATAAAAATAAGAAAAAAATATTTTATATAGATAAAGCCCTTCGTAAAGTGTGGGCTGTACTTGTGAGAACAATTTTTTGCGTCTCTTTGAGGCATGGACTTCCAGGAATTCCTTCAATTAGTCTACTGCAATCGTTTCCGACCAGTCCTAGGGCTCCATCTAAAACAGGGATTGTTGATGTTCCCATATGCCACATTTTTTGAGATTTCTATTTCAAGGTCTTTGCATTTTGACAGCTTTTTGTATCTCGTCAAAGATACATTGCAGTCTGCAGGGACTGCCATATCAATAAGGAGTGACTTTTTTTGTTTGTGGTCTTTAATAACAATGTCTGGGCGGTTGTCTTTGATTGTTCTGTCAGTGTGTATTGTGTAGTCCTATAGAATTGTAACAGGTCCTATCTCTGTAACCGGGTCTGGGTAGTGTTCATACCAATTTCTTTCAGTTTCCTTCCCGTAGAGGTTGAACATTTTTCCAGTGTAGATATTGGCCTACTCTGTCATGCCGGGTTTTTATACCCAGTGGGTGACAATATCGTGCAACCTAACACTAGATTATTATTATTATTATTATTTTTATTTTCTTTGATTTCTGGCGTTTACACATTTCTTTCCGGGTCCCGCCCAGGGACCTAAGGTTAGAAATGGCGTCATGACACTTTCCACTGACAAAAAACAAAAGAAAAAGATTACATAGATAAAGCCCTTCGTAAAGTGTGGGCTGCACTTGTTAGAACAATTTTCTGTATCTCCTTGAGGCATGGACTTCCAGGTATCCCTTCAATTAGTCTACTGGAATCTTTTCCAACCAGTCCTAGGGCTCCAACTACAACAGGGATTGTTGATGTTCCCATATGCCACATTTTCGCGATTTCTATTTCAAGGTCCTTGTACTTTGACAACTTTTTGAATATCTTCAAAGATACATTGCAGTCGGCAGGGACTGCCATATCAATAAGGAGGCACCGTTTTTGTTTATGGTCTTTAATAACAATATCTGGACGGTTGGCCTTGATTGTTCTGTCAGTGTGTATTGTGTAGTCCCATAGAATTGTAACAGGTCCTATCTCCGTAACCGGGTCTGGGTGGTGTTCATACCAGTTTCTTTCAGTTTTCTTCCCGTAGAAGTTGCAGATTTTCCAGTGCAGATATTGGCCCACTCTGTCATGTCGGGTTATATATTCAGTGGGTGCCAACACCGTACAACCTGCTACAAGATGATCAATCGTT